AAATTTACCTAAACGAAGAAAATTTGAGAAACCTTCAGACAAAAAACTTCAGTCATATATGAAAAATTCAGTTCCTGCAAATACACAAAAAAGCACGAATGTTTGGTCCAAAATGTTTAAAGAGTATGTAAATGACACACATCCTGAATTAGACCTTGATACGTTGCAAGACAAAATAAAAGTTGCAAGCCTTCTTTCTGAATTCGTTGTCGAAGCAAGGACCCGGCACAACGCAGAATATTCTTCCGATTCTCTATATGTTGGGATTTGTGCGATCAATCGATATTTGCAAACGACGTTTAAGCATGAGCCAATCAATATTCACAATGACTTTGAATTTAAAAAATTTCGCGAAATATGTGACGGTCGAATGAAGGAGTTGGAGGAACTGTCAACGTATAAAGGTGCTGATCCCTTAACGGAGGAAGAGATGAAAATCATTTTTAACAATCCACAACTGTCACGCGACAACCCCAAGGGACTTTTATACCGAGTTTTTTTATGGATTGGATGTATCACAGCAAGGCGTGGTGGCTCTTATCACAAGTTGAAACTAAAAGATTTAACTTTACGTGACGATGGTGGATATAATTTATTTACTATTCATGATAAAACACATCAGGGCGGATATTTTCATCATCGACGAGCTCGTGACAAAGCTCAGGAACAATCTCATATCATACCACCTGATGAGTCAAATGAACTTGGGCCAATCGCAGATATTAATCTTTATATATCAAAACGACCAGTTGACGCGGACGAAGAATTTTTTCTTCATCCGCTTATTAATTACTCGGGTAATATATTAATTTCATTTTTTTTTTTTTTTATATAACATATTTATACCATACCATATATATTAATATTTAAATTTAGATGATATTTGGTATTCAAATAAGCATGTGGGTCGTGATAAGCTTTCAGGTTTTTTAAAAGAAATTTGCTCTCTTACGGGTATTACCTGTAATGGAAGGAGAATAGTCAATCATTCAATTCGTAAACACACCGCCCAAAAACTGAATGATGCAGGAGTTGACGTCCAAG